TTCCCTTAAAGTAGTACTGCCGTCCCCAGCACAGAGATGAGTCCAATAAATAATGGACCTGAGACCCGAGAGACTCCGTCGAATTTGACACAAGCATCTTTTTGAGTGCTCGGCTCAAGAGCATCATCACATATTGTACATTTAGTAACATCGTCATTGCATTCGGCGCAATTAGTAACGCTACATAGACCGCATTTGCCTTCCGGATTCAATCCATACCCGGGTTTGCATGTTTCACACATTTGGCCGTCCTTGCATTTAAGGCAATTATCGTCGTGGCAAATAATTTCACAAACATCTCCTTCGTTATTTAAATTATATCCGTCAGCGCATTTATCACACCGGCTAATATTGTTGGTGCAATTTAAGCAACCTGTAGGGCAAGCTGCACATGTAGGCTTATCTAACCTTCCGTAATTAAGATTGCATTTTTCACACATAGTAGTATCTCCGTCACATTTTGCGCAACCTGTGGGGCAAGCTATACATGTAAGATCATTTGTCCTCCCATACCCGGATTTACATTTCCCACATGTAATCGTATCGCCGTCACATTCTGCGCAGCCTGTTGAGCAAACTGCACATATTTTGTCATCTGTCATACCATACCCGGATCTGCATTTGGCACAAGTAGTAGTATCACGGTCACATTCGGCACAGCCAGTAGGACAAGCTACGCACATTTTGTCAACCGTCTTTCCATACCCTATATCACATTTTTTACACGTAGTAGTATCACCGTCGCATTCGGCACAACCGGTAGGACAAGCTGTGCACGTTTTGTCAACCGTCTTTCCATACCCTATATCACATTTTTTACACGTAGTAGTATCGCCGTCGCATTCGGCACAGCCTCCGAGACACGCAGCACATGAAAGATCATCAGTCATAAAGTGACCGATATCACATTTTTCACACGTAGTAATATCACCGTCGCATTCTACGCAATTCAAGGGGCAAATAGCACATATAGAATCCGGTATCTTACCATACCCATATTTGCATATTTCACATGTAGAAATATCACCGTTGCATTCAGCACAACCTGCCGGGCAAGCTGCACATTCAAGTTGATCGGTAATTCCATACCCAGATTTACATTTCGCACACGCAAGAGCATGAGCACATATTAGACAATTTGGTGTACAGTCATCTTCGAAGGCCATCATCGTGTCCGGTCGCGATG